GCTACTAATCAGCCCTGTGACCTGGAGCAAGTCACTCCACCCCATGAACTGCAGTTTGGAAATGGGGAGACTCCACCTAACGCGCTCTGTGGTTGGGAGATGTGGATGGGATGCGCCTGGTGACATGCTTGTCTCTCTGCCTGACCAACAGTGCTTCGTAAAGGGTAGCTGTTACCACCATCAACCCCTTCTCTGGGGAAACCTCTGGCTCGTGACTGGTTTGAGTGTGTGGCTGTCACCTTTTCCCTCATTGTCCACGGCCACCTGACCCAGAACTTTCATCACAATGCCTCCAGGGCATCCGGGGAAGGGGCCGGGGGCTGCAGGCACTCTTCTCCCACCACAGTGGAGCCCTGGGCCCCTGGCCTTCCTCCCCTCTCTGCCTCCCCGACGCATCCCCTTCTGAGCAGAGCTCAAGTGGGGTGCTATTTGGTGACACTGCTTCTGTGAGGGGGGGCTGTCAAGAAATGACCCCTTTCAATCCTCAGGGATGACGAGAATGCAGGTTGTGTTGTGTTCGTGCCGTAGGGGCTAGATGATATTTTTGAGTCAGGTTTACACTAGATGTGATCAGACAAACTAGGTCTGTGTCAGAGGTACCCTTGGCTGCCAAGGAGGTGCACCCTGAGAAATGGCAGCTGTCAGTATTCACATCTCACAGCCAGTGGGCTCCTGACCACCTGTGGGGGGGTTGGGGTCACTCCAGACTCCTGAGAGGGGTGCTGCCAGACAGAACCCCACTTCTGTGTGGGGCGCGTTGAGGACCTGGTCTGCGCCAGTGGCTTTGCAGGCCCAGACCTTCCCAGCAAGGCCTTCCTAGGAATTGCCTCCCCCGCCCTCGGGCGCTTCTCTGGGCGGACACTGCCCCCTGGAGGCCTTTGCCTGCCATGACACCGGGCAGAAATGACCCCACATAAGAGGAAATGGATCCAGATGATGCTTTTCTTTCCAGGATCCTCCGTGGTTTGGGGAGTTTTGGGCCGTGTATTCATTCATTCTCAGCTTGAGAACCTGGAATCTGCCCTAGTGCCATATGTTACCTTACGGAAGAAACGCAACTCAGGGCAACTGCCAGAACACAAGTACATAGCCACAAGAGGTCTTGGGACTCCAGGCTTTCCGTATTTTGTAAAGAGGCGAGGGTCCAGGGAAAAATGATCTCTAGTAATATTTGGAATTAAGGTTGAGGATAAGTTTATTTACTTATTTTTAAAGATTTTATTTATTTATTTGACAGGGACACCGAGAGAGGGAACACAAGCAGGGGGAGTGGGAGAGGGAGAAGCAGGCTTCCCGCCGAGCAGGGAGCCCGATGCGGGGCTCGATGCGGGGCTCGATGCGGGGCCGATGCGGGGCCGATGCGGGGCTCGATCCCAGGACCCTGGGATCATGACCCGAGCCGAAGGCAGACACTTAACAACTGAGCCACCCAGGTGCCCCAAGGATAAGTTTAGAATCAAGCAAAATAACTAGTATGGAGTTAAGGGGAAAAGGGAGGAATAAAACAAAGCAAAGGAAGGATTAAACAGGAAGGTCAGGATTTACTGGCTGCTGAGAACGGAGAGTCACCAGGTGGAGGTGTGGGGATGCGGGTTCTATGGCAGCAGAACCACCCCATGTGATAGCATGGCTGCTGTAGAGGAAAACATGAGCAAAGAGAAAACACCAAGAATCCTCCCATCTTGAATAAGCGTTATTATTTTGGTGCATTCCCTGTTGTTTTTTTCCTATGTGTCTTCTTTTATTTATTTATTTATTTATTTATTTTAGAAAAAACACAGGACTTTATTATTCCCATTACAAAGGGCAGGTCTTCACAGGATGAGGGCGGGAATTCTGATGGTGGAGAGGAGGCCCCTACTCGCCAGCGATGAGCGGGTTCCGCAGGACCACGATGACCGAGTCCCCGCGCAGGAACACCTTGGAGATGTAGCGGTCCTTGTTGACTGGCTTGGACTTCTTCTTGCCCTTGCCGCTCTTGGGGACCTCGGTCCACATCTCCTTCACATTCTCCAGCACCATGTTGCAGTGCCTGTCGAAGGCCTTTACGCGGCCCAGGAGCTTCTTGTTGTTGCGGCAGTTGATGAGCACCTGGGTGTTGTTCTTGACTGACTGCGTGAGCACAGAGAGCGGACCTGTGTTGAACTCTTCTTCCTCCCGCTTCTGCAGCTCCTCTGGGGTCATCTCACTCTTGGGCTTGTTGAGGAGGCTCATGGTGATAGTGCCTGAGGTCCCAGATCAGCGCCGTCTCCTCCGCGTTGCTGCTGCCTCCGAAGAGAGCTGTCTTCTTTTATTTTTATTTTTTTTTTAGAGAGGGAGAGAGAGAGAGAAAATCTTAAGCAGGCTCCACGCCCAGTGCAGAGCCCGACATGGGGCTCGATCTCAAGACCCTGAGATCATGACCTGAGACGAAGTCAAGAGTCGGACCCTTAACCGCCTGAGTCACTCAGGCATCCCTTATTTTTATTTCTTTAAAGTTTTATTTAAGTAATCTCCATACTCCACATGGGCTCAAACTCACAAACCCCAAGATCAAGAGTCACACCCTCTTCCGACTAAGCCAGCCAGGCGCCCCCTATGTGTCTTCTTTTAATGTCGTCATTGGAGTTAATGTCTTTATTGGATTTTTTCAAATCATAAGAGTTAAATCATAAAACATGTGAGTTACAGAAAAAAAAAAAAACTGTACCCATCTCCCTGCAAAAAAAGATCAGCTCCAAATGCAGAGCTGGGTTATGACTGTGTCTGGGGCAGGGTCCCATCTGCACCAAGAGTCCAAGTGAATAGTCAACAAATTGTCTCTAATCACTGTCCAAGCGGACTGAGTCCCCAGCGTCCGTCCTGGGTCCACTAAGATCTTGGCCTCAGGGCCTCTGTCAATGTCATTTCCCCTCCTGGAATACTTGCCCACGTTCTTTCCTGGCTGACTCCCAGTACATGCATGGGTGTCTCTACCCTGTGACATTTCCCCAATGTCCCAAACTAGGTGCTGTTCAAATGTGCTCCTGTAACCCACAACAGCCTTCGACCAAACTGCATTGTCATCATTTCTTAGACCCCTGACTTCTGCTAGCAAGTGAGCACTGCGTGGCAGAGACCCAGAGGCCATAGCTCCTTAGCTCCTGGCCCTGAGAGATGCAGTGTGGATGGAGGCACGACGAGCTAGCTTTCTGGAGGTTCCCCCCACCCCGAGCCTGGCTGCTAACCTTTCCACCTCCTCCTCCGCTGGAAAATGATGTGGCTCAGGAAGCTGGAAGGGAAAAGTCAGTTGAGGTGAGAGCTATGTAGGAGCTCAGACAGGTGAGGGGCTCAGAAAGCCCATTCCCGTCCTGTACCCATCTCCAGTTAGATCACCAGCTCTCCCTCAGGACCTAAGAGGATGGGACCAGGGTCACATTCAATCAGGCAAATACTGAGGATGTGTGGGGTGCAGGCGTGAAAGGTGTCACTCGAGATGAATCTGACAGTCTTGTCCTCGAAGGGCACCCAGTCTGGGAAGAGAGCCCGCGAAGGTCTCATGGTGTGGGGTCCAGGTTAGAAGGCCGGGGTCTGGAGTCAGACAGACCTGGGCTCTTGTTCTTGCTTGGCCACTGTGTGACTTTGACAAGTTGCTTCCACTTCCTGAGCCTGGGATGATGATGGAAGCTATCTGGTTGGGTGGTTGTGAAAACCTGTGGACATTATGATGTGAAGATATGGGTAATGGCGAGAAATGTCCTCAAATGGGAATGCACCCTAGCTCTCGTGGTCATCAACGAGGGCATGCAGGTGCAAACGAATGTGTGCCGTCTAGAACGGACTGGAACAGGGCCGGAGCATGGGCATGGGTCAGGCCAGCCACTAAGGGGTGCAGATGGGGCACTGGGGAGCTAGGCACTTGCGGCTCGGATGGCAGCCAGTCCCCACCAAATATCGAGGTGCTCACCCTCGTTTCCCAGGCCCGGTCTCCCTTAGTGGGTTCCCGCCATGTGGCTGGTTCTGGACCACTGTCTATGAGCAGGAGTGATGGCTGCTGATCAGGGGACGAGTCGATTCAGACTTGATGTCTTCTCCCTCCCTCGGCTCCCTGCTGTGGATTCTAGCAGCAAAGCCCTAAAATGCAGGAGGGCTACCAGACCCTCATCAGACTTGATGAAATAAAGCTTTCTTGTGCTCAGCCATGGGGATTTGGGGTTGTTTGTTGAGACAGCTAATGCTAACTGCCCCAATGCATATAGTACTACTGTGATTTCTGCTTATAGAGGCCAAGTCGATGGCCTGTGGTCACACAGCTCCCAAGTGGGCAGGGACCCACACCCAGGCCTTGACTCACATGCCGGTTTTTGGGAACTATGCTTACTTCACCTCATGACGGCCTGCCCTCAAGCACTACCACACCTACGGTCTTAAGATGTCCAGCAGGGACAGCCGGATGAGCCGCTGGGACAGTCAGAACACTTGGCGGGTTCGGTGTGAAATCCCGCCATTCTGGATTGCACCGAGCACTTGCAACACTTGTCTCACTTCTGCCAGTGCTGGTGGATCAGGCTAAACAACACACCAGGGAGGGGCGACAGATTGCCCTGGGCTGGCAGGGAAGACTACAGTTGGGACTGGAACCTTCATTGTGCCGATGGGACACACACGGGACGAATTCCTCCAGCATCGCTGTTTCACGCTCAGCTCCTGCCTGCCTGTCCCCCCAACCCAGAAAGGCAATATTGCAAACCATAAACTTCAGACTTAGACTTATGCTTGAATCCCTGCTCTGCCACTTACTGGCTATGTGACCTTGGGTAAGTCACTTTGCTTCTCTGAGCCTCAATTTCCTCATCTCTACAATGGGGAGAACAATATTCATTTCTCATGGGATGGACTCAGGCTTGAGAGATAATGATGTAAGGTGCGCAGCACAGTGCTTGGTACACATTAGCTTGTTATGACCCAAGGCAGGCTCTCTTTCTCCCGGGGAAGATTAGGGGGCTACCGGAGGAGAGGGATTCAGTATAGAGATTCACACCAAGATTGCTTGTATGTTTATTTACAAACGGGAGACATACACACACACACAGACGTCACTGGGACATTTCAGGAAACTTGGAGCAGGGAACAGCTCTTCTTCACTGTCTGTCTCTGGGCTCCCTTGTGACTCAGATCAAGCTCTCTAGAAAAAGGCTTCTGACGCTTCCTCGCTGGGAAGCCTGTGCATGTGCTGGATGGGCTCTCACTGCCTCTCATGTTCAAATCTGCCTGTCCCATTGGGCTGTGGACAAAGGGCTGTGAGCCTTGGCTCAGTCATTCATATCCAGGCCAAATTCTGGATATAATTCTTTGGTGGTGACACCTCGGATCACGGCTGAAAGGAAAGAAAGAAGGAAAGATGCGTGTCTGGTGGGAGGAGGGGGAGGGAGAATGGCCAAAGGCCTGACCTACCCAGGACCCACTCCTGCACCTTTTTCTTGCTCCCCTAGTTGGCCGAGATACCCTCCTGCAACTCCTTCCAGACCCTACCACTGTGGGCCCTGCTTGGCCACCCCAAACAAGACTCACTGAACCCTCACCCCACTTCACAGAGGAGTCAAACAAAGCTCCCCTGAACTCCACACAGAGCACCTAGAGCCATCTGCTGAAAATGTAAATTTATATTTACATTGCACCTGGGGCCTGCTGAAAACCCTCACTCCTTAGCCTGGCCCAGGGGTCACGCCCTGGCCATTTAGCGATACCATCCCTCCTGCTCCCTCAAAGATCCTTACTTTCTGTCTCCCAGGGGAAGGGATCTCCTGAGAAGTCTTCCCTGACCACCTTAGCTCATCCCTACCTGCCACCCTGTTCATACCTCAATATTCTTCTCCATCTCTGGCCTGTTTCTTTTTTTCTTTTTTTTAAGATTTTGTTTCTTTATTTGACAGAGAGAGACACAGTGAGAGAGGGAACACAAGCAGGGGGAGTGGGAGAGGGAGAAGCAGACTTCCCGCCGAGCAGGGAGCCTGATGCGGGGCTCTATCCCAGGACCCTGGGATCATGACCTGAGCCAAAGGCAGATGTTTAACGACTGAGCCACCCAGGTGCCCCTGGCCTGTTTCCTTCATAGCGATTAACACATTTTATAATTCCTTTGTTTGTGTTCCTTTACTTATTGACCATTCCCCTCCCCTCCCCCACACAACAAAACCTAAGTCACATGAGAACAGGGTCCTCCAGGTGTCTGGTTCACTAGAGTGCCCCACACCCTGCAGAGCAACACAGAGTAGGTGCTCAGTAAATATAACCTCAGAGGATAGGCTGCCCTGTCCTTTCCAGGTCCCAGGCCTGGAAAAACAGGTCTCAAGCTGGGTTCTATCTCACAAGAGGGGATGCCCTTAACCACCAGGCTATGGTCCTCTCACCTTCTTTCCTCCTTGGGGTCTGATCATCCTCCTTCCTCCATCTGTATTTCCCTCCTCCTGTTATCTCCTTTCCTTCCTCAGGACCCATTCCCCACTGGAACAGAGAAGCCCTCCCTGCCACAGACTCCCGGATGCTGATAGGCAATTCTACAGGAAGTGCTAAACTCCTGCAGTGACCAGGCAGACATCCCAGCCCTGCACCCTGTCCCAAAGAGTCACTGCGTGCTGAATGCTGGAGTGCCCACCGGCCCCAGCCAGGTGACCGGACTGAGGCCATCCATGCCTTTGCTTGCTTCCAAAGTGGACTGTCCTAACCAGCCTAGGTACACAGGTGTCTGTGCCTTGGCCAAGCCCTCTGGATAGTCAGACTGTTCAAGGAAGAGCAAAATACTCCTTGAAGTCACAAAGTTACCCATCTGTGACTTTCTGCCTCTGTAGCGAGTCAACCACTTGAGGTAAGGGTGGTGTATCAATCAGTCTGAGTAGGCCCCAGAAGACCGGGAACCACAGCCCACAATCGAGAGGTAGGCAAGTTCATGCTCAAACCTGCCTGGGGCTCTGAAGCAGGCTCTACACTTGAGGGAAGAGACCCCAGGGACTCCTGTAAGAGCTGTACAGGTGCTTTGGGGCATTCGGGGAATGGGCCAGCTGAGAAGGATGGGAAGGCTGGGAAGTTAGAGGGCCCAGGAGCAAAATCCAGACACCCGGGGGAATGCGGACTCCTTCCCTCCGAAGGCTGCTCCTCTGGAGTCCTGCTGCTCACCTAGTTTGCCTAGCAGCATCTGGCCTACATCCTTGATGTCATTATATTCGTGGAGAAGGGAGATGTGGTCCTCCAGTTCATTCACACTGTAGCCTCTGGGGTGAGGGGTGGAGAGAGAGAAAGAGGATCTTTAAGAAAGCTGAGGAGGATCCAAGGTTCAGAGTAACAAGGCATCTATTTAAAGATTTTATTTATTTATTTATTTGTCAGAGAGAGAGAGAGAGACAGAGAGAGCACGCACAAACAGGGGGAGTGGCAGGCAGAAGGAGAAGCAGATTCCCTGCTAAGCAAGGAGCCTGATGTGGGGCTCAATCCCAGGACCCTGAGATCCTGACCTGAGCCCAAGGCAGACGCTTAACTGACTGCGCCACCAGGTTCCCACAAGGCATCTATTTAACTAATGTTCATGGGATGCCTGGGTGGCTCTCAGGGTCCTGGAATTGAGCCCCACATCAGGCTCCTTGCTCAGCAGGGAATCTGCTTCTCCCTCTCCCTCTGCCTGCCACTCTCCCTGCTTGTACTCTCTCTCTGGCAAATAAGGAAATAAAATCTTAAAAAAAAAACAAACTACACAAATGTTCACTAAGGACCTACTAGGGACAAGACAGACCCTGCCCTCAGGAAGCTTACGGTAGGGCAGGGGATCTGCCTAGCCCCTCACTCCTGGCCAATCTCCCTGTGCCCTTAGGGAGTGGTTTGCAGCCACACTGGTACTGTGTGACCCAGGCCACAGCAGGGGGATTCACAGATGGGCACATGAGTGGCTAGTCAGAGCCCCTCCCATGTGAAATGCACATTCAAAGGCTGCTCAGTCTATGCCACATGGCTGGAGCAAGAGGTGTGAGAAAGTCCAGGAGTTGTGGAAGAGCCAGCTTCCTCCAGGCCCTGGAGAGCCCAACTGCAGAGAAAGAATGGAGTCGGTGTGCAGATGGAAGAGGCAGAGAGGGACCGAGTGATAACCTCTGCTGGGGACAGCTTTCCGCTTCCTAGTTCCTGCTCCTCCCAGGTCTGACCACACCCTACCCGAGAGAGGCTGCTGACACGCTGAATCCCTCGGCAGGGCACGGTCCTGGTTTTACGCTAAGCTAGTGTGGCTGGGTTTCAGTTACTGGGCCTCCGGTTAAAAGTTATCTTAAGCATGTGGAGGAGCCCAGCGAGACTTACTCAGATATTAACTGGGTGATCTCCTTGTCCAGCAGGTCCCTCTTCTCCTTCAGTTTCTGAATGTCGAGGTGCAGAGAATCCTCGCTGGCCGCCCCATCAGCCTGGCCAGACTTGGGAGATGGCCGCTGTGTGGCACATAAAGTCATCAGCCAGACTGACCCATTATCCACAATTCAGAACCTACAAGCTGTCCCCAACAACCACCACCCCCCTTCTGCTTGGTGACTGACACCCCCCCACCCCCTAATAAGATTACATTGCCCAGCTGCCCTTGTTATTAGATGTAGCTCTCTAAGTTCTGGCGAGTGGAAGTTAGTCAGAAATCATGTATGCAAGTTCTGGGAATTGTCCTTCCAGGGAGAGGGTACGCCTTTCTCTGGCCTTCCTTCCTCCTTCCTGCTGGCTAGAATGTGGATGTCACGAAAGACCTGAACAGTACCTTGGGCGATAAGGTAGAACCATGTTGAAGGTGCGGTGGAACAAGATAGAGGCCTGGGACCCTGAGGTCTGTTTAGGCCACCGTTATTTGGGGTTTTCTTTCACTCCTAAGCCACACCCAATCCTAATTAAAGGGCTCATCCTGGCCCCTAATCTGACCCCAGATAACCTGCCTCACGTCTATTTCTTGGATGCCCAAGTCTATGATGTCGCTGGGCTTATAATTTCACTGGGTGACAAACCCCTTCCCTGGGGCTGCAGTTCATCTTTGCCCTCTCTGCCTCTAAAAGTTGCAAAGGCCAGTGCCTGGGACACTGCTAATCTTTAGGAAATGTGTGTTGGGTCAACCATGTACACATGTTACAAGAAGAAGCCAAGGAAGACATGGTTACTACTCGTAGGACAGAGGCTTTTAATCAGTTGACAGAGAGGGAGTAGGCACTATCTGCTAGGCAATGGCAAGGCTCCAGGGACTCAGCAATGGATAAGACATCAAGCCTGGCCCCTGCCTTCACGGAACTTATCTAAAATACCCAATAATTATGTTTTTCCTCCAGATATCTCCATTTAAAGCTCTACTCACATTTTATCAGGAAGGCCTTCGCTGACCACCCCGCCTAAAATGGTCCCCAATGGCTCACTATTCTTTTGTCCTGATACTGTATAACATCCATCACCACCTGACATATACATTTCATTAATAATATTCTGTTCATTGCCGGCCTTACGCCACTGGAGTTTAAACCCCATGAGGGCAGGGACGGTGTTTTGTTCACTGTGTCCCCAACAGTGCCTGGCACATGGTAGGCACTCAATAAAATGCGTCAGATGAATGGGTGAATGACAAATAATCAACTAATGACAAGCCTGAAAAGTGCTTTTAAGGTGAAGTACAGTGTGCGAAGGGAGTGTCTAAATGAGCAACTGGACTGAGTCAGGAGTGGGGGTGAAGCTTCTCTGAGGGACCTCTCAGCTCTGACGGATGAGCAGGCATCACCTTGCTCAAGAGCTGGAAGGAAAGTATTCCAGAAGGGGACAGTATGTCGAAAGGGCCAAGGCAGGAGAGAGCGCACACGTCTGAGGGAATGAGGGTGGTTTCTGTGTGGGGTGGGACAGGTGAGGGAGGGGATCGTGGTGTTTTCAAAACCAACCACTTGTGGTGCTGTCAGGAAGGAGGAGAGACAGAGCCCACTGGGAGAGCCTGGGTACCCAGGGCAAAGGCCAGGACACTGCTTCTTCTTTGAAGCTTGGTGGGCAGGGAGGAAAAAAGGGGAAGGACTGAGAAATGACCTGGAGCTTCTCAGCAGAACAAGGTCTGCTGGGGGGAAGGCTTGAAGAGGGCTGGGGTGGGGAGGAAGACTGGGAGCAGCACTGACTTCCACGGTGGAGGGCCAGAAGAAGGGGGGGGGCGTGCACAGGCATACTCACAGGGGATTGGAAGGCCCCGCGGCAACTTTTGGAAAGTCCTGGTTGAGTCCTGGAGAGGAATCCGAGGAAAAAAATGCTGATTGAACCTAGAGTCCGCTCTGGGAGGAAAGGGGTGTGGGGAGGTTAGGAGTTGGGAAGGGGCAGTTATGGCCCGGGATCAGGCTCGGGATGCTCCAGGAAGGGGAGACTCGGAGAGGGGGGAGTGTGTGGAGGGCTAGATGGGGGTAGACGGAAGTGATCTCTGGGACGAGAGAGTCTGGAGCAGGGATATGGGGAGTCAGGAAAGGGGCTGTGAAAGGATGCCCTTTCGGCCTGTTCTCCGCTCCTCGCCCACCTCCGGAGCCCTGGGGTCCGGGGTCCCCGTCTCGGGGGAGTATGCAGTGCAGGAGGGTCCAGGGCGAGGGCGGGAGAGCGGCCCCTCAGGCCCGCCAGGTATTCGGAATCTTATGATGCAGACCGCGAACGGTCAAAAAGCGAGGTGCGCGCGCACCCTGCGAGCTCAGGCCCCGCCCCTCCCTCGAGGTGGGCGGGGACAGCGGCTGCGCGCTCAGCTTTCATTGTGACTCCACCTGTCCCTTGAGGCCCGCGGCGGGCTGGCCACGCCCCCTCCCCTTTCATCTTTCTCAGCGACCAATAGGATTGAGGTATTGAGGGGCCCACCCAGCTGCTGCCTAGAAACTCCTGGGTCCCTCCTTTCCTGGCTCAGTCGCAAAGTCAGCGCGGTGACTACCGGAAGCAGTTCTGCGGTGGTTGTCGGGATCTTGATGATGTGGCCCCCCTTCCCCCCTCCCCGTCCCGGGATGTCGGAAGAAACCCGACAGAGCAAACTGGCTGCGGCCAAGAAGAAGGTAAAACGTGCCGGGTCGCGGCTCCCTGACCCAGCCAAAGGCCCCTCCGAAGGCCGGACCGTGGCCAGTCTGTGCTGCCCCTGAGGCACACAGGGCGAGCCCCTCGGCGCCCCTTGGCGCCCCCCCCAAAGTCTTCTCAGCCAGTCCCGCCCCCCGGCAGCCCAGCCCCCGCCCTCGCCCGTCGCCCCCGGGTGACTTTGGGCCGGTGACCCCCGGGATCCTCGCTCCGGGCTTGGCCCTCGCCATCAGCCACCCAGAACCGGAGGACCTGGGCTCCCCTGCCCGGTCCCGGTCTCCGAGGACCTCGGTCCCGGCCCTGCCTTCCCCTCCCCCACCGCGGAGCGGCGACTCGGGCGTCGGTAGGGAGGAGTGGAATGTAGTTACGTCACAGTCCCCCTTGGAACTGTCATTAGCGCCACGAGCCCGGTGTTTGATCTTACTACCCAGTCTTCCAGTGTTTTCATACCCTTTCCGGTTTCTCTGATCGCGGCACAAATTCCCAGCTTCAAGGGGACTGGGGACTATGGGACCTGGGTGGGAGAGGTTTCAGGAGCCCTTACTCTAAGATTGTACCCCATCCTTAGACATTGACTTCAGCAGTGATCGCAGAACGTTGATAACACCTTGGTGACAACTGGGGAGACTGTGTTTTTTTTAGTATGGTTTCCTCCTAGGTTTCTACTGTCCAGAAAGACTTTCACAGTTTAAATCTGAATTCTCTACCTCACATTTTAATTCCCCATGATTCTGGGACCAGGGTCCCCCTCAATCGGTGGTCTTTAGAGTAAGATCTGCTTATCCTCTGTGGAACAGATCTCTGGAACCTGAACTTCATAGGTGGGAATCTTCTCCAAATCATCATCTCAACATGGAGTGTCCTAAATGCCACAGAATAATATGGGACTGAAGCATCAATTGTGCTTGATTCTCTTGACAGAGAAAAGTCATTTTATAATAATGTACCTAGGAATGACGTTTGCACAGATGTGTAAGATTATAATAGAATTCTCTCCGAAATGGTGGTTGGGTTGTCCTCGTTCTGTTACGTTCCCACATTCACTAGGTGTGTGCCTTCATTGCCTTCTGCCATCAGGATACGTTGATGTAAAAGTTTGCTAAGTACCAGTGTGCAACTTTAACAGATGTGTAGGAAAGGACTCTAAAGTCTGATTACCCAGATGTTTACTTTTCCATCTCCACCTCTGGTTTTGCCTCTTGGCACTTGCTGATTTCCTGGCATAACCCCAGAACTCGGAGTCGGAAGACTAAGTTTAAATTCCATTATTGCCCCCCTCTTTTTTTTTTTTTTTTTAAAGCCAAGTTATCATTCCATGTCTGCAGTCGCTGAGAAATACAACACCTTGTAGGGCTGTTGGTGGCATTAAATCAGATGGCGAATGTAGGAGTATATGGTAAACTACAAAGTTGGATGTGAATACAGGGGATTAGAGTTCTCATGAATCCTGCTCCTTTCCTTTTCTGCAGTTGAGGGAATATCAGCAGAAGAACAGCCCTGGTATTCCTGCAGGAGCGAAGAAGAAAAGGAAGATCAAAAATGGGAGTAGTCCAGAGACAACCACTTCTGATGGATGTCACTCTCCCGAGGATGTGAGTATTGGCTGGCCAGGCTCCTGGGACCAGGGTGCTCAAGGGGCAGTAGAGGGTGGTGGTTAAGATTGTGAAGGAAGTGTCAGGTACAGGTTTGAATCCTACCTCTCCCTTTGCTGGGGATAATGTCTCTGCTAGGGATATATTTCCACATCAGTAAAATTGGGGTAATGTTATCTTATTTACACTTGTGACACTGGAATGAGATGGTTGATTTTTTTTTTTTTTAAGATTTATTTATTAAAGAGAGAGAGCTGGGGACGTGGGGGCAAAGGGAGAGGGAGGGAGAGAGAGAAAATCCTCAAGCAGACTCCCGGCTGAGCACAGAGCCTGACATAGAGCTCTGTCCCAGGACCCTGAGATGTGACTTGAGCCGAAAGAAATCAAGAATCAGACATTTAACTGACTGAGCCACGCAGGCCTGGCATAGGGCCTGGTGCAGGGTAAACATTCAGTAAAGGGTAGTGGTATTTGACATACTGTTCTGGTGACTTTGCTCATCCCTAGCCTCAAAAGGGAAGCCAGGCAGTGAGAGCAGCCATGTGCCATCATGCTGTCCCTTTAGAAAGCAACAGAAGGGGCCCAGGGTGTAGCGAGGAGAGGCCCAAGCACTTGGGTTAGGGGACATTGAGTTTTAAGTCCATCTTTGCCACCAGCTTGCTGGGCGACCTCAGGAAAATCACTTCCTCCCCTGGGCCCAGTGGGCTCATCTGTAAGATGATATTGTTGGAGCAAATCAGTGTCTTTCAGACTACTACCTGGAGCCCCCTTTGTTCAAGCGAACCCTTCCTTGGAAGTCTGGTTTTAAAACGGAGATGACATTCCTGTCAGATTCGTCCCCAGCATCCTGGGCCTGAGGAGCGGGTCTCATGAGTGTCTTTTTTTTTTTTTTTTTTAAGATTTTATTTATTTATTTGAGAGAGAGAGAGAATGAGAGAGAGCACGAGAAGGAAGAGGGTCAGAGGGAGAAGCAGACTCCCTGCTGAGCAGGGAGCCCAATGTGGGACTCGATCCCGGGACTCCAGGACCATGACCTGAGCTGAAGGCAGTCGCTTAACCAACTGAGCCACCCAGGCGCCCTCTCATGAGTGTCTTAAGAAAACCGCTGCATTGGGCCGGTGACTGCATTCTCTGTCTCGTTCAGGGGACTTTTCCCTCTATGTATGCTGATTTCTGCCTCCAGCAAGGCAGCTGGTAGCCGTTTGGGAAGGCGGCCCGGGCCATGGATTTGTTCCCCTCTCTTCTCTTCCTCCTTCCCTGACTCTCTCACCTCTCTCTAAGCCACTTTCTCTCTCCCCTTGCCCTTGTTTCTCCCTTCTCGCCGCCTGTAGATTCAGGACATCCTGAAGGTGCTGGTGTCCGACCTTAACCGCTCCAATGGGGTAGCGTTCCCCCCATTGGACAAGTGGCAGGTGAGGCAGTGCCGAGCCCCCTCTCTGGCTTGCTCTCTCCCAGCTGTGCATGCCCCAAGGCTTCTCTGGTTTGGGGGATACTTTGCCTCTGGCTTATTTTATGTTGCTGTCATTAACCCTCAGCCTGTTCATGTCTGCTTTTTTCACCTGCTTGGTTGATTGGCTTGTTTTTCTTGCCCCTCATCTTTTATCATCTTGAAGAAGGAGAGACATACCTTGAAGTTTAAAGGTAATTTGGGAGAGCTTCCAGAGCAGGTGTGTGGGATCTGGGCTTTTCAAGCCTTGAGTATGAATACCCAGTGGCATGTCAGACTCGGAGAGATTAAATAAAAGCAGACCTTTAGGCTTGCCTTTTGGGCACCCATCCCCAAGTTTGTGCTCTCTTTGAATTGGATGACTTCATTTTGGTTTGAGAGTAGGGGACTGTAGGGTTAAGACGAAGGGAGCGTACATTATAGTCACAAGGATCGAGGTTATTTTTTCAGAGGAATTAACTGTAAAGCACACGAGGTTAACCAAACAGGACATCCTGCCCCTGTTGTCTTTTATTTTTTATTTATTTATTTTTAAAGATTTTATTCATTTATTTGACAAAGAGAGACACAGCGAGAGAGGGAACACAAGCAGGGGGAGTGGGAGAGAAGCAGGCCCCTCGACAAGCAGGGAGCCCGATGCGGGGCTTGATCCCAGAACCCTGGGACCATGACCTGAGCCGAAGGCAGACGCTTAATGACTGAGCCACCCAGGCGCCCCCCTCCCCCATTCTCTCTTAAAAATCAACTGGACATTTGGCTGTGTATTCAGTGGCCCTTGCTAGGGGAGGCGGTTGGCTAGGTGCTCGAGAAAAGAGGTAAACTAGGTCGAATGCACACTGAGGGAGGCAGACCCTACTGTAAGAAGCAAAGGTAGACTGTGGCAACGTTCCAAGTGCCCAGCTGAGGGCAGGGTTGGTTCTAAATGGACTCGAGACTGGTTTGAAGATTACAGGTGGGTAGCATTTATCCAGATGGAGAGTGGGGAAAGTGGGAGTCCCAGGCAGAGGGAGGGCGGGATGCAGGTAACAGCCAGCATTATGAGCTTACAGAGCATCTCCCAGAAAGGGAGCCTGGGTGGGTTTTCTGGACATGATGTTCACACTTTGTCCTGGGACACTGGCCAGGCTGGTGTGAGGGGAGGAGGGTAGGGCTGAAATGCGGCCAGGTCCTGCAAGAGATGGGCATGGGGAGAGGGCGGGGACAGAGCTCTGGATGCTGGTGCAAGAGGCTTTCACCCACTGGGACCACTCATGCCTGGGTGGTCGGGTCTGTCCAGGTGCTGTGACTCACATTGTGATCTCAGAGGAGCTGCTGAGGGGCACAGGGAAGGGAGCCCAGGCCTAGAGGACTCCTGAAGCTGGCATTTGCCCTGAGTTCTAAGATTCTGTGCCCACACCCCTCTGTTGTCCTGGAAACGAAGACCCAGATCTTTCTTGTGGTTTTTAAATCCTCTCTGTATCCGTGGCAGTTTCCCACTTAAGTTTTCTGTTCCCGCAATGCAGGCTTGTGGTTACAGGATCCTGAACAGAGCTGACAGCATTTCCAGAAATGGGGACTCATGGAGAAATAAAATTTTAATGGAATGGGACAGTTGGGGGAGTGGAGAGTGATTTTTTAAATACTCCATACTTTTGCTATAATGCCTAAAATCGTGA